TGACGCAGTGCTAAGGGCCTGTCTCTCTGCCCCATCTTCCCCACCCTTCTGTGTGGCGCTGCACAGGCCTCTTTGGACGCCTCGCTCCGCCCTCGTCTTTCAGCCCCTCGGCCCCGGTTCGGCGTTGCGCCTTCTCGGCGTCTCCTGCACACCGACTCCCCTGGCGCTCCTTACATCCCTGCCATGGAGCACGCAGGCTGCCTAGCCCAGCGTAACTGGCAGGGGGAGGAAGACAGTGTATGTGGAAGTAGGGGGACTTGGCAGTATGTCTCCCTGCGCTATCGTCTGGCTCCTGGGCTTGCCACTGCCCCGGACCTGGAGGTTGCGGGAGGGGGCGCACCAGCGGTCGCTCTACGGGAGTGTACTTGGGGGAAAGGTCTGGGGGGTTAATATCCCCCTGAATCTGGCCCTGCCAACCCAAGGGAACCTCCAGGCTGGCTTGTGAGCCGGTTACCCACCCTGGTGGGCAGCTCCAGTGACTGTACCTGTGCAGACTGCCCGGTCTGGGCCTCACCAAGCAACACGGCGGAAGGGAAACATACATCTTGAAGGGACTGGAAGAAAGTGCAAATCACAGTAACGCTCTTCATTCCCCGCCCCGTGTTCATTCTCCAGACACGCCGGACTCCCGGAGGTGCAGCTGCCCGTCGCTCAGGCAACACGACTTGCGTTTCATTGCACACATTAATGTGCTGCCTGGTCTCGGGACACCAAAGCCCGTGGAAGCATGGGGAGAGGGCTCGGGAAAGGCTCGTCCTCAGAGGCCAAACGAGGGGCCCTCCCCATTGGTCCTGGGGAGCCGGGACGCCGGTAGCTTCCGCGTCGACAAGAAACATCCAGATCCTCTAATCCCTCGGCGACCTCGCCAGGAGCCAAGCAGCACGTGAAGTAATTCACCGATCGGCTCTCAGACGCGACCACGGCCAGTTCCGCGGGAGCTCACCAACACATGAATTGGCACCTGGGGACATAGGGTGCCCGTCTCCCGCCCCGGCTGCCCCCTCCTGTTTGGCCGGGGAGAGGTTAATCTCGGAGGATTGTTCCATTCCGGGACGGACGTCTCTTTTCCAGCAGATGAGCGCCTGCTTGGAGGCAGATGCCCCTGACCCGTTGTTACAGAGCAGTTCATGCCCCACGCCAAAGCGGGGTTCCAAAGCCCCCTCCCTGCCAAGCTGTCTGCCAGACCTGGCCAGAGACGGCCATCTGCGCGGCAGACCTAATGGGCGTTAATCACCCAGGGGATGCAGGGGGTGGGGCTGCTCTTTCCACCTCCGTGAACACAATCCGTTCTACAGATGGCTCCGGACGAAACCCATGCCTGGCTCCAGCCGCCGCTGTCGGCTCCTGTCTCCCCGCCCTCCAGCAGTTTGGACACCGGACTCTCGCGGGTAACGCAGTGCGCCGGTGAGCCGACCGGCCAAGGCCCTGAGTCCCGAGAAGAATCCTGGCTGTGTACACAGTTACACACGAGCCCCCTGCAAGAGCGCTATGGAACAGCACAACGACGGCTCGGCAGTGGCTGCCCGCTGGCTTTGTGGCTTGCGTTGCCTCCCGAGGGCTGTGTCCATGCACGCCGAGCACTCTCCACTGGCTAACACCCGACCTTCCCAAAGTGCTTTCTGCCAGCGACCCGGGCATGCCCGTCCTCCCACCTGGGCCGGGCTCTGGATTCCTGCCGAGACCATGTGGTGTGCGCCAGGGGCTTCGGGAACACAGCTCCCTGCTTCTGGGCCTGGCTGTCTCTCCACCCCAGTGCAGGTTAAAGCAACGGGGTGAGGCTCCCCTAACCTGCGCCCACTGGAGACGCGCCACAAGGAGGTGTCTGAGCACCGGCAAACCGCACACCCCACCCTGCAGAGAACAGCAACCACGGTGCCGAGACCATGTGGTGTGCGCCAGGGGCTTCGGGAACACAGCTCCCTGCTTCTGGGCCTGGCTGTCTCTCCACCCCAGTGCAGGTTAAAGCAACGGGGTGAGGCTCCCCTAACCTGCGCCCACTGGAGACGCGCCACAAGGAGGTGTCTGAGCACCGGCAAACCGCACACCCCACCCTGCAGAGAACAGCAACCACGGCTCCTAGTCCTTGTGCTCCCGGGAATGCAAGAGCTGCCTCTGTCCCTAGCGTGGGAGCACAGAGCAGGGGGACGCTCGCAGCCTCTGCTTCCTGGGACAGAACTTCACAGCCTGGACACCCATGTTGGGAACCTCGGCTCCAGCCAGGCGCCCTCCTGCATTTTCACCAGACCCTAGAAACAAACCCCGTGCAGACTGCACCCCCCCATGAGCAGAATGTACCCCCAGCTAGGAAGCTCTTATCCCAGAGATGGAAAATGCAGATTCCAGCTCCTCAGAGCAGGAGGTTTAGCGCCTGGTTGTATGCTCTTCTTCCTGCTGGCCGGCTCTGGAGCGGGCGCGTCAGGGAATTCACTGGCTCTCCGCTCCAGGAAGCTGTCCGTGGCTTTCCCCTCCAGCAGGAGATGGTGACGGTCCAGCCCTGCCTTTGTTTACCCAGCGCCGGGAATCCTTCAGTTTGCCTCTTTCCGCATCCGCTCGCAGAAGATGTTAATTTTCTGGAATTAAACACTTAGCTTGATTGCTGTTTTGTTAATTGCTGCATTCGTAGCCCCCCTCCGGGCTCCTGCCTGTTTCACACGGCGAATGCTGCGAGAGCGAGCGGCACCAAATTGGCGCGCAGGTGGGTGGATGGATGGATGGCGGCCCCTGGGCCGCGCCAGGCCTGCTTGTTCTGAGGCAGCGGCCCGCCAAGCAGACGCACCGTCCTGCACGAGAGCCAGGCTGGGGCGGGGCTACAGAAAGCAGCAGGACTGTCCTCCCTTTGGTTTGCGGTGGGGTGCGGAGAGCAGAGGCCAGAGCCCAAGCGGATCTGATGCAAACTTGCCAATATTCCACGTGCTTGCACTCTCTTGGCTTGTTGGGGCTCCGTTCTCTCTTGGGCAGGGGCCGGAAATGCGCCCAACTCTTGGGAGAGCTTCTAATGTTCAGAAACGAGCTACCCCTCACCCAACGCAACAATCTCACCTCCAGGGGAGGGGTGTCCTGTGCTCTGAGGTCCGTACCGAAAAGCAGGCCCACCAAGACCAAATGTTCACAGCCACTGACTGATTGGCTCCCAAAGTTGCGCATTAACCTCTTCTGATCCATCCCCCCTGCTTGGCACGCCCGCCGCAGCCTGGTACAACAATCCCGGCAGGTTAAACCCGCCATGCCGCAGCCAAACGGTGATCCCATGGCCACGGCCCCTGCAATACCGATCGTACCCAAATGCATCCAGACCTCATGCGCTGCAGGGAGCTTCGTACGGGGGCCCTCCCAAGCCAGGAGACATATTTCCATGTTAATAAACGGGCTCTGCCATCGACATAGAGAGGGAGGGAGAAAGAGATGGATGAACAATAGAGGGAGCGACAGGCGGAGAGAGAAGAGTTAAACGAAGAAAGAGTTGAACAAATAAAGTCCCCGGCGTGCGGGGATGGAGGGACACACCCGTATTTTGCACTATGGACGTCCTCCCCAGCGGCGTCCTGTGTGCTTCCAGCAGGCCTCCGGAGCTGCCGACGGAGGGGTGCGCCGAGGGCCAGGTGGGTGGGGAAGGAGCAGGGAGACGAGTGACAAGGCCGGGTTAGAAGGAGCTGGTTTGCCGGCCCATGGGGGGAGAGAAGCGACAGCCAGGCACGAACACAACATGGCCGCCTGACACAACTGGCATTCCCAGGAGCTGGGCTCCTGAGTGAGTCATGCAGGTGGCTGCCTTGCCGGCGCCCAGGGGGGCAGAGTGAACAGAAGTGGCCTGTGTTCCTCGCTCCGCATAAAGCCAAAACCGCCATCGCCTCTCTGTTCCCAAACCACAGAACCATAGAACCATAGAGCTGGAAGAGTCCTCAGAAGGCCATCAAGTCCAGCCCCCTGCTCTAGGCAGGACCAATCCCAACTAAATCAACCTGGCCAGGGCTTTGTCAAGCCGAGACTTAAACACCTCTAGGGATGGAGACTCCACTACTTCCCTAGGGAACCCAGCCCAGCGCTTCACCACCCTCCTAGTGAAATAGTTTTTCCTAATATCCAACCTGGACCTCTCCCACCACAACTTGAGACCATTGCTCCTTGTTCTGCCATCGGTCACCACTGAGAACAGCCTCTCTCCAGCCTCTTTGGAACCTCCCTTCAGGAAGTTGAAGGCTGCTCTCAAATCCCCCCTCACTCTTCGCTTCTGCAGACTAAACAGACCCAATTCCCTCAGCCTCTCCTTGTAGGTCATATGCTTCAGCCCCCTAATCATTTTGGTTGCCCTCCGCTGGACTCTCTCCAATGCGTCCACATCCTTCCTGTAATTGGGGACCCAGAACTGGACACAATACTCCAGGTGTGGCCTCACCAGAGCCGAGTAAAGAGGAATAATCACATCTCTGGATCTGCTGGCAATGCTCCTCCTAATGCACCTAATATGCCATTAGCCTTCTTGGCTACAAGGGCACCCTGTTGACTCATCTCCAGCTTCTCATCCACTGTAACCCCCAGGTTCTTTTCTGCAGAACTGCTACTTAGCCAGTCAGTCCCCAGCCTGTAACAATGCCTGGGATTCTTCCGTCCCAAGCGCAGGACTCTGCACTTGTCCTTGTTGAACTACACTTGTCCGTAGTATACTTGTCCACCCTGCCAGCCCCCTGCCCGCACTTACAGCCCGGCTCACCGACTGGTGGCTGCCCCCACCTGCCTTCGTTTCACCTCCCCTGCCCGGTGCATACGCACCACACAGACCGGCCAGCTGGCTACCCCAGTGCCCCTACCTCAGTTCTTGTCCCAATGCCTGGCGCTAATGGGGGGGGGGGGGGCAGCCCAAGGGGAGGCAGGGATGATGCGCAGCAGAAGAAAAAACCAATGTCAGAAAGGAGGGGGAGACTGACGACAAAGGAAGGGGTGGGGAAAGGCAGCATCAGAAAGGGGGCAGAGGGAACAGAAAAACGGAGGGCGAGCAAGGGTAGGGCTTGTGCCTTGCACCTTCTTCCCGAGGATGGCCCGGGAATCACAGCCCCGTGCAGACTATCCGCTTCAGGGACATCGGGCATGGGGCCCAGCCCCACTCGGCAGCCAGATCCGGGCACTATCTGGCCCAGGACCTCCTTGGAAGGGGGGGATTCTAATGCCCGGTTCAGCCACGAGTATGTAGCCTCCTTCTTTCTCTTCCTTCCCCGTTCTCCTTTTTCTGCCACCCGCTTCCCACCTCCTGCGGCCCGCCTCTCGGCGCGCCGCCCCCCCCCCCCCCCCGCCCACGCCCCCGCAGCGGGGGGCCATCAGACTGCACCGCCCAGTGCCACGTCTCTCAGGCTGCCTTGCACCCCGGGCTGGCCTACTGACACCGGTGTCTCACGGGGGGCGGGTCCATGCCATGGCAGACATGACACCGACCTAACGGCCCGCTTACACAGCACCAGGCAGAAGCGGTAGCATTTCAAGGGCAGACAAGGCCTCTGGCAGGCATCCCCGCCTTGCTGGGACTGAGAGCTCTTCACAACCACGAGGCCTGGACACGGCCTTGGTTGGAGGAGTCAGAGGGTAGATCCTACAGCATCTGGCTGCACCACGCAGGTCCTGGGTTGGGTGCATACAGATGGTGTACACACCTTAGCTCTAGTCTCTTGCATTTCAGTTAGTACCTGACGGGGGTTAGTACCTGGGGGTTTGCACACCTGGGATAGTCCATTAGAAGCCCCCAGCCCTGGTTTCCCTTTCCCCCATTTACAACCCTCCCACCCCCGGCACACGGCGGGTGCACGGCGCCCCCGGGGACTCACCGGCTTGGTTGGTGGGGGTGTTTCCCGGCC